TCAGTTTTGTCCGTTTTTTAACATTTGAAAATAAAAATTTATGATTTTGTAATCTACACAACAAATTATTGCAAATAATATAAATAATTTAATTTAATGGAAAATAATATCTTTTAAGTATAGAGTCCATTAATTTGAAGGATAGCTGAAAATTACTTAGGGAAAAATTTTTTTTTTCCCAGCTTTAATTGAGTTAATTGGTACATTTTAGGGATACAGTACAGTTACATTCATTGTTGGGATCTTGTACCTCTACATGACAGGTCTTGGTTCTCATTTTTTCCCCTTGTCCCTGCCCTCCCTTCACCCCCTCCTCCCCTCCCCATCTAAACACTTTATTTTCATCTTTTCATTCTCTCACATTTAGGGAATACTTTTTTTTGTTTTTGTTTTTAAGGGACTACTTTTAAAGAGTTATTTGTAGGTAATCACAACAAATCTCTCTCCTCATAAAATTCCAATTAAAAATTGCTGAGTGCCACTGAGGCATTTTCTATGACTCTTTAAAACATAGATTCTAATGTAAGTAAATAGATCAAAGGAAAGGAAATAAATGAAGATTACCTGTAGGAATCCCTTGGAGCATTACTATTCATTATTTTAAAATTTTTGTTCCTTTGTTGTTCAGTGCTACAAATCATTCGTTTTGGCTTATTTACTTTTTTGTTTAGTCTTGGTCTCTAGTATTAATGATCTCTGTTTTAATAAAAAGAATTTGTGTCTCAAAAAGTCTCCCGGGGGGGGCTTTTTAATTTCTCACATAATTTACTTCCACTTAAAATACTGATTTAATACAAGGTAGGGGGAAATCTCCAAACTTACAAAGAATCATTTCCATAGATGTCACTTTTTTTGTTCTGTGTCAAGTAATAGAATTGTTCAATAGGAAGCTTTCTGAAATGAAAGAAAAGAATAAATTGACTATCTTTTTCACATAGTATAAGTGGGGAGACAGTAAAAAAACAAATAGATTTGTTAATACAACCATGAATATATAGGAATTCAGTATATGAGGAGGTAGAATTTTAAATTAGTTGAAAGGTATGTGCTTTTCAATGAATGGTACAGGAAACACTATCTATTTGGAAAATAATGTATTTCTATTTACACTATTTAAAATGATAATTTCAGACTGGTTTAAAATCTAAACAATGGAATAAAGTATACACAAATATTGAAAGAATGTACAAGAATGTTTTTATTTGGTGGTAGGGAAGGCCTTTTAAATAAAATATTTTATTTCATTAATTATTATCATTACTTTTTGTGGTACTAGGGAATGAACCCAGCACTAAGCTACATCCCTCATCCTATTATTATTATTAATTTTTTAAAATTTTGGTACTGGGAATCAAACTCAGGGCTGGCTGGCCAGGCAGGTGCTCTGCCGCTGAGCCACATCCCTGGCCCCACTTTTATTATTTTTTATTTTGACACAGGTTCTCACTGAATCTCTTAAGTTGCCCAAGCTGGGCTCAAACTATCCCACCCGCTCCCGTACCAGTATGGAACTCATGACCTTGTGCTTGCCAGACAGGCACCAGAACCACTGAGCTAAATCCCTGGCCTGGGGCTCAAACTTGTAACCCCACTGCCTGAGCATGTAAGAGAGCTGGGGTTATAGGCATGCACCATCCTGCCCACTTTAAATAAAATTTAAAAAAATGATTTAATTTTATTGGTACATTTTAGATATAGGTAATGATCACATTTATTATAGGGAATTTGTACCTGCATATGATATATCTTGATTCTTCTTTTTTCCCATTCCCTTTCCTCCCTTCAACCTCACGTCTCCTCCTTATTTACAACAGATTTGTTTCCAGTTTTTCTATCTTTTCTCTCTGTTTTCTTGTTCTTGTCCCCCTTCTTCCTCCCTTCCCATTTGAACATTTTCTTCCTATTTTACAATATCTATTATACATTTTGGTCCTTATTTACACTGTTAAATAATATTTTTTAAAGGTAAAAGCTAAAAGGAAATTTGTTAAGACAAAGGGCACCATAAAAAGTTCAGATAAAACAAAATTAGGAAGAAATATAGATAACACATATAAGATTGATATCTGGAACATTAAGAACCAACCAGCCAGGTGTGGTGGCACACACGTGTAATCCCACCACTAAGAAGGATGAGGCATGAGGATCACCATGAGTTCGAGGCCAGCCAGAATTACATAAGGAGAACCTGACTCATTAAAAAAAAAAAAAGTCTGCCTGGCAAGCATAAGGTCCTGAGTTCAATCCCTGGTTCCAGGAAAAAACAAAACAAAACAAAACAGGATGTATAAATAAAATAAAATCAATACAAGTAAGCAAAGAATAAACACAGAAAAGGAAATTTTAATGGTCATATATAAAACACAAAAAGTAAGAAAAAGTATTCACCCTAACTAGTAACTGGACCAAATACATTATTAGATTCATGATACCCTTTATACTCATTAGATTGTATAAAGTTATACAATTTGAAAATATGATGGCTGAAAGTACAAGGAAATGGTTACTTTTAGATACTATTGCAAAAATATAAATAAATCATTTAGGCTAAATACACAGAATAAAAAATATTCCTGTATCATGACCCAGCATATCCACTTAGGATATCTCCTAGGGTTTGTGCATGGGTTCAAGAAATTCTATGTAAGGCAGTTCATTACAATAATGTAAAACATAAAACAATATGTGATTGGCCAAGTAATCTATGATAAATCCATATTGTGGAATATTATGAGAAATTAAAAATGATAAAGTAGATCTGTGTTTGACATGGGACTATATCTAGATTGCAAAGAAAAGGAAGCTCCCAAGTTGCTCAATACTATGTATCAAATGCTTCCACATATAAATAAGACAGCATTATTTATTTTCAATGTGACTAGTAAAACTGGGTAAACAAGTAAGGAAAGGAATAGCAGGAGACACACCACAGTGCTAACTGTGATTCTTTGAGAAAGGAGCTGGCATTAGCAGGTGGTGGTCAAATGAGACTGGACCTCGTCTGTAATATTTTCATATATGTTGTAATATACACTGTGCCCACCCTGTATTTTTTGAGTGAGTCTGTACTATGAATCGCACCTATCCAATGCAGTTATTCACCTACAAATCAAAGTCTAGTGCAGATGTGGTGATTGGCAGAATTTAGGGCACATACCGGTATCCTGGCTAATGGAGAGGCTGGGAAGTGGATTTCTGGATTCTACCTGGGCAAGTGGGCTATTCTGATTGTGGGAAACTGATATTATAAGGAAGGTTGTGCTTTTCATGGATCTTTCTCCATTCTTATACCCATGACAATCTTTTAAGAGAAAAAAATAAAAGGGTTGATGGTGAGTGTCAAACCCATTGCGATGACTGAGAAAATTATTTTTGTAGAATAATGATTTTCCTAATCATCATCAGTTCTTTTCTCTCTCTCTTTTTTCCCTTATTAATGGTATGACCCATTCACTCTTTCAATATTTTCTTTGAGTTGGAGAACGGTAGTATTTGGTATACTCACCTTGCCCCAGTATGCATTTGCAATGTGGGGATGAGGTTAACAATAATGACTTGCAATCAATAGTGTGATTTCCTCTTGGGCTCCAACACATGTAGGGGGAATATGAAAATACGTGGGTGTGGTTTTATTTTGGTTGTTATAATGAATGAAGGATGCTACAAGTATCTATAGGCAAAGAGCTAGGGATGCTAAACATCTTGGAGTACATGGTACAAAGAGCTGTCCTGCTCCAGCTGCCTTCTCAGGAAACAAGTAAGAGTGTGGAATAAACTATGTAGAATTTTCTTTCCTTGTCTGCTACGTACTAAAATTAATGGCGTAAGGCTGTTTCCCCTTTTATTGTTTGGTGGCTGGTTACTGATAAATTTAGTATTTATTTTATATTTTAGACATTAGAAGAGATTTTGCTTCATATTATAGTCACATTACCTTTTAAGTATTATTATTGTATTATTATTATTAAAGGGTACTAGGAAAATAGAAGTTCCCCAAGAAATTAAAAATAATATCCTTCTGTTCACAGAGCACTACAGATCTGTTTAATAGCTTTTCACTATTTGATGGTAGCTTAGAGGAAGAATCCATTTCCTTTTTTCACAGACAAATTGACAGTTTTACTACTTCACTAATGTTTATGGCAGTGAAAATAAAGTTATAAATTTTCATCACTTCATGATTTCATTCTTTCAGGGAGACTGGATGCTGAATTAGATAATGACTGGCCTCATTTGGAATTTCTGAAAAATGCACATCATGGGTAAGTAAACATTGCTAATGTTTCTTTAGAAGAGTTTTCCTTAGACATATATATGTCAGAAACTGCTATAAAGGAAAAATCTGAGTACTTTGTAAGAAAATAGATACACCTTGAAACCATTAATGTTAAGTGAAATAAATCAGACACACATTAAGTACTGTATGGTTTCTTTTATATGTGAAACTCAAAGTACAGTGGTACTTCAGTTCACGAATTTAATTTGTTCCACAATTCTGGGACAGATGGCCACCATTCACGTATGTGTGGAAAAGATGGCAACAGTTATGTTCTTCACCTGAAGCAGACTTTGCAAATGAAGCCAAAATTTTGCCAAATGCTTCTGTTTGTGAACAGTTTGGTTCATGAAATGAGGTGCTATAATGCTGTATAAATAAATTAAAGAGCAAAATAAAAGACAGATAAAAGGAAACAGGGAATTAGGTTGTTTGCAAATGGGAAGGGGACCAAGAGATGGAGGGAGGAGAAAGTAAGGGAAAGGAAGGGGATAAAAAAAGAATTAAGATGTGTTATGTACATGTATCAAATACTCACCACGTAATAGTCATTATGTATGCAAAAAGGTACTAATAAAAAAAAATAACAAAACTAGATTGTAGTAAACCAGGTAACCAGGATTGTTAGGTAAAGCAGGAGAAAACAGGCTCTGTGCTATGATTTGATTCTGCTGAGTATATTTCATAAGCTTTTGTAAATATGTAATGTGACATTTAATTTACTGCTGTCGGACATTTTTGCTTTGCTTTATATATTTATTTACTTGGTATAGGGATTGAAATCAGGACCTTGCGCTTACAAGGCAGGCATTGTACCACTAAGATACATCCCTGGCCCTTTGCTTAATTTTAACTTGTGTTTTGAATAGCATTTCTGGAAATGAATTTAAGAGCTGTAAATTATTACTGAAATATTTTAATGCTTGAAAACAGTGCCCAGAAGATTCTCATGACTATAGTAAAGACTGATGAACAAATTACAAGTCAAAAGCTCCAAAAACCAAGAGCATCTGTACAAATTAGGCCAGCTCTTTGCTTAAAATCATTTTAAATTTAATGCCTCTCTTCCTTTTCCTCATTCCCATTTACTTTTAGTAAGATATGATAAAGGAGAGCATTAAATTAATTAGAATTTCTGATCACAGTAGTTTAATATCTCTAAGGACAGCAAAACAATTTATAAACAGACATTTTGCTGATTTCACAATTAGAAATTGTATAATTAGCTTTTCCATCTGTTTCTTCATAAATAGTAAAAGAAATGTTTGGAAGCAAATTTGAGTTGGCAAAAAACCAAAGAGAAATTAAAAAAAATAACAATAAAGACCTTTATGGGAGTAGCAGAAAGCTTGGTTACCTTGGCCAAATTTCTCCACCAAATCCATAATGCTGATGTCCTTTGCCCATGACACGAGGAGGTTCACATTTGGGCCTGTGTTCTTCAGGGAGCGCAACTGGAATTATCCCTCCATATTCCCTCTCAGCGCCCCAAGGGAGCTGATATTGTCGGAGTGACCCCCTTAGTTCCTGATACCTGCGGGAAAAGAAGAGACTTGTGAAATTGTTTAGCAACAACTAGGTATTTTTAGATCACTTTTCCAGAACACAGTATTCTCAGGGTTGACTATGATAGATTCTGGTTAGTAAGGCATCACGGGATTGCTAAAGGAATGAGGTCAAACTGCTGAATTCCTACAGATCTGTTTTCTTCTAACAGTTGTAATTTATTTATTTAATTGTTTGTTTGTTCATTTATTTATTTATCTATTTTTGGTAGCAGGGATGGAACTCAGGACCTGTGCTGTGAGGCAGGCACGGTTCCACTGAGCTAAATCCCTGGCCCTAGTTGTATTTCTTTTTAAAAACAGCTTTATTGACATATAATTCGCAGTTACAGAATTCATCAATTTAAAATGTACAGTTCAATGAACTTTACTCACAGATACATGCAACCATCACAATTTTAGAATAGTTTCATGATCTCAAAAAGAAATCCTTAGCTGGGCGTGGTTGTGCCGCCTGTAATCACAGCACTCAGGAGGCTGAGGCTGGAGGATTACTACGAGTTTGAGGCCAGCCTGGAATACATAGTGAGTTCAAGGCTAGCCTGAACCATATAATGAGACCGTGTGTCAAAAAACCAACCCCCCCAAAAAACAATCCCCCCAAAAGAAATCCTTTACTCTTAAGCTTTTACCCACCTATTCCTTCCACCCCTACTCCAACCTTAAGCAACCATTAATATATTTTCTCTACAGATTTGCCTATTCTGGACATTTCACATAATTTGTGGCCTTATGTGATGAGCTTCCTTTAACATAATAGTTTCAAGTGTCCTCCATGTTGTAGCATGTCAGTACTTACTCCTTCTAATGGCTGTATGTAATTCTGTCATATGGATATGCCACATTTTATTTAGCTATTCCTCAGTTGATGAATATTTGGCTCTTAGGAATAATACTGCCATGAATACTTACGTTCAAGTTTTTGTTAGAATACTTATTCTTTATTTTCTTGAGAATATATAAGGGAGCGTCTTAAATAGATGAAATGTAGCCGGGCGTGGTGGCACACACCTGTAATCCCAGCACAAGGGAGGCTGAGGCAGGAGGATCACTGTGAGTTCCAGACCAGCCTGGGCTACATAGTGAGTTCCAGGTCAGTCTCAACTACACAGTGAGACCCTGTCTCAAAAAACCAAACCAAACCAAACCAAACAAAGCAAAAAACCAAATAGATGAAATGTACAGCTAGATCATAGAGTAATTCTGTTTAATTTGTTAAGGCAATGTCAAACTCTTCTGTAGCAGCTGCCCTATTTTATAGTCTCACTAATACTGTGTAAGCGTTCTAATTTCTCTACATTATTCTCAACAGCTGTTATATTCTGTCAAAAATGAAAGAGATTTATTACAGTTATTTCAGTGGGTGTGGTCTTTCATTGTAGTTTTCACTTTTTTTCCCCCCAGTACTGGGGATTGAACTCAGATTTACATTTTTCTCATGACTGAAAATACTGGGTATTGGGCCAGTGATTTAGCTCAGGGGTTCTGCCACCTGCGTCGCAAGTGCAAGGATCTGAGTTTGATCCCTGGTACCAGAAAAAAAAAAAATACTGGATATTTTTCATGTTACTATTTTGTATATCTTCTTTGAAAAAATGTTATTCGGATCCTTTGCACATTTTAATTAGTTTATTTTTTAGTTATAAGAGTTAACCTACTCTAGATACAAGCTTATTAGACATGATATGAAAATAATTTCTTCTATTCTATGCATTTTATTTTTACTAACTTGAGTACATCCTTGGAAACACAAAATTTTAAAATTTTGATGAAGTTCAATTTCTTTTATTGCTTTGCTTTAGGTGTCATATCTAAGAATACACTGCCACAGAAAACATCATAAAGTTTTACTCCTACCATTTCTTCTCAGTTTTATAACTAGCTCTTACACTTGGGTCTTTGATTCACGATGCGTTAATTTTTATGTATGGTATGAGATGAGAGTTCAACTTGTGGAGAGTAATGTAAAAGAATAGTATAATATCACACTTGATCTTTTAGGCCAAGAAGCGACAGAATAGTACTAATATTATTAAGGAGCTATTGCTCCTTGAGCAATTCAGTGAATATCAGGTTCACGAATGCTGTCTGGAGAAGGTCTCTGGAGGAAAATGAGAAATTGTTTTGCATTGGGTCAGTATGTTGCTGAACCAGGAGGGGCTGGGAATTTAGCTCAGTGGTGCCATGCCTGCCTTGCAAAAGCGCAAGGTCCAGTTCCATCCCCTGTACTGGAGGTGGGGGGTGGGGAGAAGACTCTCATAAATAGAACCAGGAACTCATAGTCAAATGACCATGACACTTTAACGGGCCACCCTATACCCATTTGGATACATTTAGGGCAGATCCAGAAAGCGTGGATTTGCAGAGATTTGAGGAAATTTCCTCAGACCTTAAAGGCTCTGAAAGAGGACTGACATTCAGACAATGTTAGCAGAACTGATGTCAAGTTCAGAAATGTGGGACATGGTAGAGATGGATCATGGCAAGAAGTGAGGCAAGAAGAGGACAATATCCTATGGACTCGCAGGTGCTTTGAACTATACCATGAGTGCTGGAGAGCTAGTCAGAATCTGGAAGGAGAGCTCAGAGAAAAGCATGAACTGTGGGCTACTTTTTTCTTTATATCAGTACAGTGTTTGGCTTAATATAATTCACCTATGACAAGTGTTGAATGCAGAAATAACTCTCAAGATTGTTTTATTTTATGAAATTACTAAATAAGAGGGTTAGTAAACTATGCTGTATAGGCCAAATCCAACCTACCATTGTTTTTGTAAATACTATTTTATTAGAATACAGCCATGGCTGTATTTATGCATTGCTTTTATCGTTTATGGATGCTTGTGTTTTGTAACTGCAAAGTTGAGTAACTGTGACAGACTATAAAGCATAAAATATTTGTCTGCCTCTTTACAAAAAAAGTTTGCTAACCTGTGCACTAACTAGTCAAGGAGAATCTTGGGGGCCACTGATTTGAGGTGTTATAAAAGAGATGCTGGCCTTCAAGTCTCAGACCTCAAAGACCCCCACCAGCTCTCTGACTATGATCAACAGGCAGGGTTTGGGAGACATGACAAGTGAAAAATATTTAAACTCATGTGATTTATGAAATCTAAGCCTTAATAATTAAGTTTGTAAAAGTTACATTTAAATCATGAATGAGTCAATTTCTCAACATGTGACCCCTGTATATTGCTTTGTGCCAGAAGATGAGCCAGTAGAAAATGTTAATTAATCATGTGTGCTAGCATCTACTTAAAGGTGGTAAGTTGCAAAAAAATTCATTTACAATAAAAGGCAATCCATAAATGTCATGTTTCACTTCTTAGTCCCCCGCAACCCTGCCCAGTCCTACACCTTAGCTTAATTATACTCACAGCGTTGCATAGAAGGAATCAGTTAAAGTAAAAGTGGAGGTCTT